CCTCAGAAGCGCCACGGATGGCGCAATTGGGCTCCTCTGCGATGCCATAGAAGTGATTCACAAACCTTGGGCTTCAAGTGGCAAAGTTCAGTGGCCAAGTCTTGGTCTCTCAAGAGCTGCGACTTTCCCCAACCACCAGATACAAGTAACAACTGGCAAGTGCTTAGGCAACTCCCTACAGCACCTTGGCTCTGGCAATACGATTCACCGAGCTCCTCCTATGACATTATTTTAGACTCACCTGTCCAGCAACCACAGATGACTCTTGGGAGCTGTCAAGATTGCTTGACGTCTTTTGCTTGGAGAATGCTGTAAACATGTTTGATTAACTGGCTTCGTTTGAGAAACTTAGCGCTGACATGCAGCCGTTCTACCCAAGGATCTCTGGACTTTCATAAGTGGTGTCTTCGCCTTCACATGAAGAAGAGAAACGCCTACAACCTTTCATGATATGTCAGTTGTGGATGGTAAAAAATTGGCTGATCTCCCGACAAACACTGGTGTTTCAATTTATATAGTGAGTTCCCAAATAGAACAGAACCACTTCCCCCATGTCCACCCTGTATCTCAACAATAGCCACAATTTTGAGCGTCCCTCTCAGAGCGGATTGGAGCTGATGTGGTGGAACATATGTGGAACTTTGGAACCCTGATGGCTGATTTTACAAAGAAACGCTGCCTCGTTGCAGAAGAAAGCACCATCCACCACCAAGCCTCCGCGCCAAACAAAGCGGCAGAAAGCAGTGCATGACATCAGGATCTTAGCTTTTCGACTGGGCCGAGAACTTTGGGCCTCATTTCTGGCCTCGGAGGAGCCTTAGACACTTGGAAGCCTGGCTTTGTTTCATGTCTTTTCTGGTCCCCCTTTGGGTCCGCAGTGGGTCGGTGGAGAAGCTAGTTCTGCGTTCCATGAGTGGCTTGTGAAGAGTTTTGGAAGGCCGATGGGCCATGGGAAGTGAGCAAGGGCCATGTATTCTTCATGCTCTGAAAGACCTTCACATCCCAAGCTGCCAGCCGGGCCTCCACTCTCCAATGAATACTTCTCGGAGTACTTCTCATGATCTCCAGCTTTGTATACTTCGCCTGCAAAATGGAATTCTGCGTGGTTTGGATGCATCCTGGTGCACTTTCCATACCAGGGAGCTCCTGAGATCCTGTATGGAGTCACAAGGAAATGGCAACATCCCAAACACTGTCGACTCCTGAGCTGATTGTGAAAACCTTCCGGAATCTCAGCAAACCGCCCAAACTTCAGATGAGTTGAAACAAGAACATCTTGACAGGAGCGAATAGCAATAGCTTCAATGTCAGTGGACCTCAAGCTCTTCTCGGCGCCGCTGCTTCCAAGCCCCTCAAGCCCTCGTACCCACCTGCATAGCAGATCTTCACCCCTTCGGACAAGTCTTCGCGCGCCAAGCAGCAAAGCTGGTCCCTGAGGAGGTGCGTCGGAGAACAGTGAGCCACAATGACCCAGGAGCCTCAGGTGGTGCAGGGCGGGGCGCCGGAGGTCGGCGCTGTCTGGCCGGTGCATGGCAGGAGGGTCTGTCCGGGAATTGATCTGGGCAAAGCGAATGGAACACATCTTTAGCTGGGGCGTGGGACGAGACGGATGAGTTATCCATCTCACGTTTAGAAGGCTTTTGCACTTCAGGAGGATGGGAGAGAGGGCCTCTCAAAAACATGTCCTTCGTGAAGTTTGTCTATGACGCATGGCCTACCTCAAAGATGCAAAGAACAATAAGATTGAAATACAGGAACCTGTTCGGAAAAGTCAGTCACTGAGTGACTCGAGCACAAGCAACTAGACATCTGACCAAGATTCCCTACCAACACACCTCAAAATTGAAGCTTTCCATTCAGAGCCTCTTCCCACAATTCCTTTTCGCTGCTCTGCAGCCTGTTGGCTGGGCTGCACCACTTCTTTTCGTGGATCACGCGGTGGAGCTGCCAACTGCCCGGTGACATCCACAGGCTTCGGCACGTAGGCGCGCGTGCGGGGGAAGGCGCCGAAGGCCTCAAGTTCATCCCGAGTACCTATTTAAAAAACGGACCCCTATTAGAAAAAAGTCAGGTTGGAAACCCCTAATTACGGTTGACATTCCTCGTGTATTAGGCGGACCGGATTTTCGAGTTGTCATTCTGTGGCAAGGGCGAGGCCGTGTCATTCCGTCGACGGCCGTGTCATTCTCCCCGTGATCGAGCAGTTCTTCCAGCGACCGTGAGGGCGGTGTTGTTGTTGGCACCGTGATTGGTTCTCGAGGCCAATAGATGACTTAGATGACAGCCCTTTATCTGTGATCAGTAACTGATGGGTAAAGATTCCATCGAAGGCAATCCAAATCGTTCCCAGTGGGTTTTCACATCAAACGCCCTTCAGCCTCTCTCACTTTCACCCCACCAGTTCATGTGACGCTGGGCTTTGCACCCGACCCAGACATACCCAGACTAGCTGATCTCATCGTCGTGTTATCGTCCTCGTCGCACCCTCACCTGGTCGTAGGCCAGCCAGAAACGCCCCTCTCGGAGTTCTTGGCCCAAAGCAGTGCTGAAGCGTCGCAGGGCGGCTGCGTGTGAAGGCCGCATGGTCGCCGCATGCGGCGCGAATCGCGAAGAGGAGAGATGTGTTAATTTTATTGCTGGACTTACCAAAGTCTTCAACAGCTTTAGATTCCTTCAAACAACAAAACAAAGCTAATCGACTAATCAAATTCAATTTATCTTACTGCTAAAATGAGATATGTTGATGCATGTAGCTTGACCTTCTACGGTGACTTGGGAGGTTTGCCCTGTGGTCCATGCTTCCAATGCTTGGTGAAGCCAGAACGATGCTCTCCATCTTTAGGTTGAAACCTCAAGCCTGTTAAAATCCATCGGTGCCCTGCAACAAAGAATTGGCTAGGATTATATCCTCAAGGACTCTGACCACATACCAATGGACAAATGGCACGTAGTGTCTTCAGCGTGGGATGCATGGAGAAGCTGGATGTGCATTCATTTGGAGCTGAACATCTGGAACATCAACTACGAAGCCACCAAGCGATATCTGTGACACCCACACACGACGTCAGAGCCCTGGACATCTAAGACTCTTAGGTTCCTTTTCTGCAGCCAGAGCAATGCGGCAATTGGATCAAACATGATCAAAGCTATCACGCCACGTGGTGTGACCTTCACTGCAAACATACAGTGGCTTCCGCGGGCAAGGTGTGAAACAACAAGGGACGACAAAGGAAATGGCAACCAATCGAAAAGAATCGCATATGATGTGCTTCCACCAGCTCCAACTTTAGATCTGGCCTGACTGAGTCTTGCTATAGCCTATTGCACAACTGGAAAAACACCTGTGGGAACATTTCGGAAAAACGGCAAGGCATGTTGGCTCCTGGAATGACCATCTGCGTTGGTTTGTCTATAGGATGAGGGTTAGGGTACATCTTCTCCTATGTACACACACGGAAAAGTGTGCCATGCAAGGCTTCGGCGATCCAAATGTCCTCCACTTGATGCTAGTAGTTTGGGGCCATGCTTTGGGCTCCTCGCTTTCGAGCGCCGCCCAATCGCTTGACGAAGGCAGAACTGCAAAAGACCTGTCGCACAACTGGCACAAGGATACATCGGATACCACTTGTGCCCAGCGGAGATACCACTTAGGAGATGCAACTCAGCTTGCATCCTAAGGGGTCTGTACTGTACATCGCAGCACCCCGATGCCTCCTCCAGATGCCTCCTTCCGATACCTTTGCCTTGAGCATCCGATGGCCAACAACCTAGAAAGCTGGCAACTGTCCTTTGCTTTTCTAGACATATCACAACATTGACTTTGAGGGCTTGAAGGAATCTCAACTTGTGGAGAGGTAGTGGCTCTTGTGACCACTTTGCATCGGGAAGAGTTCCATGTCAATTTTCATCTCATGAGTCAGACGTACAATCTGCATAATCCACCAGCACAGCACGGGTGTTCACCTGCACAGTTGGCTCAAAAACCGGAGGTCTTTTGGATTGTCTAGGCTGTTTGCAGGTAAAAGCCTGCAGATTTCTCGGAAGTCGAGCTAGAAAAGCCAGTAGCTCCCCAAAACATCCTGTTGAACTGAATCCTTTCCGTTTTTTTCAGTGGCACATTTCGACTCCTCTGCAAAAACGACTCGTCTGTCTGAGCCTCACCATCTTCCATGACTTCGCCAACCACAAAGCCTTGCTCTTGACCATCGACGCTCCAACCTGCCGACCCCCCC